GCCCCCTGGCGGCAGAGCCTGCGCACAGCCCGCCCGCTCGCAGCCGCCGCGCTGGGCACCGGGAGGGGGGAGACGCCAAATCCGACCGGCTTGTAGCTTTCACACGTGGTTTTGGGCTTTCAGTGATGCTAGCTGGATTAAAACCCTTTTCCTTCTTCCTAGCAGCACCGTTACAGTGATTCCATGGTTTTTTGTTGGTTTGTTCTGTTCAGAAGTGAGACGTGCCAATCTGTCGGCCTGCTGGCACTTGTTCTCTGCAGCTTATGATAGCAACCTCTTCCCACTTTCTTATACTCGGTCATTTTTTTTCCTTTGTCAATGACTAGCTAAGGAACACGTCCGTCGGAATCGACAGAGTCGTACCTTTTTGGTGGAAAATGTCATAGGAGAGATCTGGTCCGAACTGGAGGAAGGTAGTGTCATTTCTTGAATAAACTCTGCTCTCACTGGTTTTATATTGCGGGCAAATGTTGTGTTTCCCACAAACGTGCTGTGCACTGCATTGTTCTCACAGTGACTGTAAATAGTAAAAGAAAAAAATCCCCAAGTTTGTGTGCTGCTCTCTTAGTTACTAAGGCTGACATGCAATTCTGTGAGGTCCAGCAAAATATGGTCTGTTAAGGAGATGGTAGAAAGGAGTCCAGGTTTTAAAATGCAATCAGATTATTTTCCTCTGAATAGGCCTTGTAAATATGCCATAGTATTAATTTGGTGGCCCACTAAAATGTACACCAGCAGCAGTTCCACTAATCTACGTTTCATCTGTCCTAAATCAATAGCTCTTTACATCTGAATTTCATATTTGTCATCAATCACTGCATTATAATTACTAATAAAGATCAAGTCTTGAGTGTAGACATTCATGACTTTCTGTAAGCCATTCTGTCTCATGGTAATAATGCCCCTGAGAAGCCTTCATTGCAGTATCCTGTGTGATAACACTAACGTAAATACAATTTGCCTATTCCTTTGGCAAACTAGGCGACCGTTACATCGTTGTTGACAGTGGAGGTGGCACAGTGGATATGACTGTCCATCAGATCAGGCTCCCTGAAGGACATCTTAAGGAGCTATACAAGGCAACAGGTAATGTCACTTCCACTGCTTGCTTTGTTGATGCAATATTTTGATTTGCCAGTGAAGGAGATGTATGCCTTTATTATTCACTACATTTCACTAACAGTTCTTCCTGAAATAAGACCAGCATTTAAATGAGTACAACCTCGCTGCTGGTCAGCTGACACGGGTAAATCACGTGATGCTTCTGGATGGTAAACCTCATATTGCAGGAGTAAAAAACTGTCCTCTCCTGTGTTATTCACTCCCATTCAGGCCATGACCTCCTGCCATGGTCCTGGTCTGACTATTAGAGTCATCATCTTTCTCTCCTTTGAGAAGTCACCTGTGTATTGGTGCTCCGTCCAGGTATTCAGAGATATACTGTGGAGATATGAATAGCTGAGTGTCACAATGAAATCCTTGTAAAGTGACTGTTGGCAGAACTGAAGTTTCCTTAGTTTTAAGGAGAATCTTCTATATTCCAGTAATTTCACAGGCCATGTAACAAAGAGGGTCTGCCGTCCCCTGGGAAAAATGCACAATGATTGGTCCCTGAAAGAGACATGAAGTGCAATTCCGTGAATGATATTCCCTTCCTGAACTCCAGATCCCCTTTGACTTTGTTCTGTGGCTAAGCTGTTAAGCACATGAGTCAGCCTATTATTTGTTGCTGTGTCTCTATACCAAGTTAATCTTAATCTGTACAGTTCATCACTGAGCCTTCTCAGTCTTGGTGGCTGTCAGACTACCTCAGGAAACAGCCTTGTAAGAGCAGATGGGACAGTGCACATCAAGTCTGTCTACTAAATAGGAGGCCAATCCACACCTTCTCACACGTGGATAAGGAGGCGGTTTCCTCAGCCTCTGATAAAAATATTTTATAGTGGTAGCGTTACAGTGGCTGTGATGGTGTAGGAGTAAAAGTAGGACAAAGGTAAGGTAATGTTCTGTCTTAGACCAACTGTTACATTTAGGAAAGATGCTTTTTTCTTGTAGACCTTCTCCCATGGCAGTCCGAGTAGTGTCCCTCTGATGTGTATTTGGTCAACTTGAAACCTATTAAGCTGTTCAAAAGGTTAAAGCTGTGTTTTGTTTGTAATGCAGGTGGGCCATATGGTTCTCTGGGTGTGGACTACGAATTTGAAAAGCTCTTGTGTAAAATATTTGGAGAAGATTTTATTGAGCAGTTTAAAATCAAGCGTCCAGCTGCCTGGGTAGATCTGATGATAGCCTTTGAGTCCCGTAAGCGGGCAGCAGCTCCAGACAGGACCAATCCACTAAACATCACTCTGCCTTTCTCCTTCATTGACTATTACAAGAAGTTTCGAGGTCACAGTGTAGAACATGCCTTGAGGAAAAGCAAGTAAGTAGAGGATTGAACCCAAACGGATGTGGAATTAACTACTGGTAGCAAAGACAAATAATTAAAATATCCTAATTACATGTAGACTAAAAGCTAATAATGTAAAAATGTAACATAAGCATGAGAAAATGGGATTGTCTGAAGTACAGTTTCCAGAATGAAAAATTCTGATCAAACTCTGGCAAAAGCTTTTCTGTCCAAGACTTGCACTCTTCTGGTATTGCTTTCTATAACTTTCATTAGGCCACTGCTGCATCACTTTCTTGAATTTAACCATGTATTTTGAGTCATGTGTTAATTAGGAACACCAGCTCAAATACAGAATTTGATGCCTAGAAGTCATCTACCTAGAACCTTAAATTTTTAAAGGCTTGGGCCCTAGAAAATATCCAAGATCTTACATGAGATATGTGAATATATTCATAGCTTCAGGAAAGTTATTAAATCACTGGTGAAAACATATACTACTGCATAGAGCTGTGCAAGGGGAAAGCATTCTTCTTTTGAAGTGATGGCAGGCTTTCTTTTCTTGTGGAAGAATGTAGAAGTAGGCATTTTGCATCGTTTGAAATTGTATACTACAGGAGATTAAAAGAGAATAAACAGGAGAGCCTGCGAATTTGGGGCAGAATGCCTGGGACCTGAGAGCAGAAGACATCATATTTAGTACCTGTACCTTGGCTTCTTTATGAGTTTTTAATTCAGTGAATGTTGAATGTAGCATGCAGTTGAAACTCCTGCCTCTCTTCCTGAAGTTACTGGTAAATGTACTTTAAGCCTAAATGACTTGGAATCCCCCTCAGAGTCACTTCTTAATGAGACTGAGGTTCTGAAATAATTAAAAATTTCTGGAAATATTCCCCCTCTCAAGACCATCTCCTTCTTATTAATAGTCTTAATGGTGAATCTTAGAGGAAATGCTAAATGTTCCCCTCAAATGAAGTGGAATTAATTGAGTAAGGGGATGGAAAGTGTGCAAAGGTGACATATAATGTGCATGAATGAAAAGGAGATTACTGAACTAGATGGATGCGTGTCAGTGATGGAATAACATAGTGCCTGTATTCACTTAACAAATGTTATGCCTCATTAAAAATGCTGTCCTCCCTTCTGCCTCCTGAGGCTTCCCATACTTGCTTGTTTTCCTTGTGTGTTGCCAGTGCCTTTGGCCTGCTGCTGCTATAATCTAAATGTTGCCCTTCTGGGGATGAATCAGGGCTGTTTTAGATGAGCGAGCACTGGATTGACTGCCAGTTGTTTCAGAAAGCAGCTGAGCATTGGTAATGCTACTGAAGGCAATCAGGCAAAGAAAACAGCAATTAGACAAGCAAAAATAACAGTTCTGCCTTGAAATTTTACATTGCTGCAGTTGGTATGGGGCTAGGGTGAGGTAAGGCACTTTCCTCCAAGCAAAATGCATGCAGATTCTATAAACTTAGTCATTTATTTATTTTGTGTGTCTTGTGAGTGCTTGGCTGTTTCTTACAGCTCAGCTGTAATGTTTTAACGTCCTTTCTAACTGTCTCTTCCAGTGTGGACTTTGTGAAGTGGTCCTCCCAGGGAATGCTGAGGATGAGCCCGGATGCAATGAACGCTCTTTTCAAACCTACAATTGACCAGATTGTCCAGCACCTTAGTACGTATCTGTGTGTAATTCCACTTCATGGCTGAGATTAAAATCTGAAGCTTTGCTTACCTGTTTCAAACTAGTAACTGGAATTCAAGTCAAACCACCCCTCTAGGACACACCAAATGTAGGCAAGGAATTTATTTCTGAAACTTGTAGTTCTCTACAAAGCAGGAAAACGGTAAACTTTAGGGACGTCACCTTAACAGGAATTCCTGCCTAGTTCTCTAGTACTAGTTATTGGGTGTGATTCAGTCCTGTAACTGCCTCAGCTTCAATTAACTTCCAGGGCTGCAAGCATTCGGAATGCTGGAATGCCCTGACTAACCCAGATCCTGCTTTTCTTTTTCCCATTTCAGGTGGCAACTAAATAATACCAGAGGTGTAGCTAGTTTCTGATTTTTCCTGCCATTAAGACCTCTAGTTCGTTTCTCCTCAGTGGAAGGTCACATTTGTTAATGACCGTCCAGATCGCTGTGATCTCTAAACCACATGATGCATCATGGTGAAAGTCCTTCCAGGCATGGCTTAAGCAGCACTGGATTTATTTATGCAGTAATGGAGAGTGTCATAGGCTTATTGGGAAATTTATTATTTAAAGTCTTCCTAGTGGGAGATTGGATGTGTATCAAGTAGAGTGTAATACATGTACTGAGCAAAGTATTGCTGTTCTACACATCACAAACCACTAATTGAATTGTATTTGGAATGGAATATCCAGCTTTGCTCACTGTAAGTGAGGAATTACTAGGTAGATTTCAGAGGTCACAACTGAGTAAGACAACTAGTACAGAACAATTTATATGTGAGCAGGGAGGGAGACACACAGTCATGCTGCCCCAGTTATTTGAACTAAGCCTACCACTGAGTAACTGAGTTATTTGAACTGAGCCTACAACTGAACTGCATGATTTTCTCAAAAGTAGGAGATGTGGGCTTAAGCTGAGAAGGAACATCTGCAAAAATGTAAGGAGGTATTATTTTGTAGGTGGTACTTACTGTGGTTAAGATGTTAGGGTCAGAAGTAATAATTGAATTTAAAATGGGGTGAATTATCTGGAATGCATTAAAGGGTATGTGAATCAGCTAGATTTGGGAATATGTCATTGGTACTTGAAGTGGCAAGATGAAGTCTGTTTCCCTACTACCCACAGTATTCCTGTGGATATGGCAGGATTCCTTTGCAAGAAATCAGCGTCTCCCTTTACTGGTAGAAGCTAAATAAAAATTCTGTTTTAAATGCCACATCAGAAATATTGTGTGCTTTGGGGTAAGTTTCCATTGACAGTGAAACAGACTATAGAAGAGACTACAGAAGTGCAACTAGTGCATGCTCAGAGTGGCAGTGTGGGCATAGATGTGGCAGTTTCAGATTTTGTGCACGGGATGTTCAGTGCACTCAGACATTAGGAGCTTCACCTTCATCGCCTTGTCACAGTGTTTTTTTCCCTATTGAATGAGCTCTTTTTCTGTTTAGGTGACGTGTTTGATAAGCCAGAAGTGACCAACGTCAAGTTTCTGTTCCTGGTGGGTGGCTTCGCTGAATCCCCCTTACTCCAACAAGCTGTCCAGAGTGCTTTTGGTTCAAGATGTCGAGTCATCATTCCCCAGGATGTGGGGCTCACTATCCTCAAAGGAGCTGTTCTCTTTGGGCTAGACCCTGCTGTCATCAAAGTGCGGCGTTCACCGCTCACCTATGGCGTGGGTGTGCTCAACCGGTTCGTGGAAGGGAAGCACCCACCGGAGAAGCTGCTGATCAAAGATGGCACGCGCTGGTGCACCGATGTCTTTGACAAGTTTATCTCAGCCGACCAATCTGTAGCCCTTGGAGAAACTGTGACGCGCAGTTACACACCTGCCAAACCTTCTCAGTTAGTAATAGTGATCAATATCTATAGCTCAGAACAAGATAATGTCAGCTTCATCACCGAATCTGGAGTGAAAAAGTGTGGCACCCTTCGCTTGGATCTCACAGGAACTGATGCTTCAGTGCCAAACCGGCGGGAGATCAAAACACTTATGCAGTTTGGGGACACTGAAATCAAAGCCATGGCCATTGATGTTGCCACCTCTAAAAGTGTCAAAGTCGGTATTGATTTCTTAAACTACTAGTGGCCCATTTTTCCCACCACAGCCTGTTTGTGAGACTGATCTTCCACTCTGCCATTTTTCGACTTTCATATGTCATGTAATCAACCTGAATTTCAGCAGGCTAGATGAGAACAGCTAGTGAGGTGGGGTATGTCGTGTTTGTGCCCTTTGATGACCAACGACTGGATTTTGAAAGACCTTTAAAAGGTTTTGGGAGCAAGAGTTCCAGAGGTAGTAACAGTTCCCAAGTTACTCAAGCATGCTACCTTTATTAAGTAAATACTGATTATTATTGGGTCCTGAAGATTAGTTAGAAAGATATAGGAACCTAATCTCTTTGCCTTGTTCTTCCTCCTCTTCCTCCCAAGAAAAACTCACTAACCCACGTGGAGGTTGTAGGGAGTGTATCTCTGTGCGGTATCTGTTTAAACAGCAATGGCAATGGGACCAAGTTAGTAGTCTGCAGTATTCTTTTGATTTTGCCCTGTGCTTTCCAAATGTTAAGTGCTGAAAATCAATGACTTTAAAGAACTGTTTCTTAAATTCTGAGATCCCACTGAAAAGGAAATTCTCGGAAATCCTCCGAAATCCTTAAAATTAGATTCAGGAAATATATAAGGAGCCTAATATTGATTCCTCCAGTTTGAAAACAAGGCCTTTATGTCAAAATTCTCAGAACTGGCTGTTGGATTATATAGCTATTTGCCCTCATTATACTTTGGAAAATTATTAAGAACAGAGCTATTTCCCTTTTGGATTTTCTAAACTTATTTTTATTAGTCTCTCTCTGAAATCCTCGAATCGCAGGATAGTTGAGGCTGGAGGGGACATCCATTGACTAGCCGGTCAAAGCTCAGCTCTAAGCAGTGTCAGCTAGAGCAGGATACTCTGTACAGTTTTGAGTATCTCCAGAGATGAAGGTGCCTAAACTTCTCTGGGCAACCTGTTACAGTATTTGACAGCCCTCACTGAAAAAAAAAAAAAAGTTTTTTCTTAAGTTTAAAAGGAATTTCTTGAGTTTCAAACTGTGCCCGTTGTCTCTTGTTTTTTCCCTGGATACCTCTGAGAAGTCTGGCTCCATCTTCTCTACGGTCTTCTCTCAGGCATTTGTGCACGTTCCAAGCAGCATTCCCTGAGCCTTCTCAAGTCTAAACAGTCTCAGCTCTCTCTCAGCCTCCCCTCACATGATGGATACTCCAATCCTTTAATCATCTTCACGATCCTTTCCTGGACTCAGTCCAGTATGTCCGTGTCTCTCTCATGCTGAGAAGCACCGACCTGGACCTGGCACTCCAGATGTTGTCTCATCAGGGCTGAATAAAGGGCAAGAATCACTCTCCTTGACCCTCTGGCAATGCTTTTCCTGATGCACCCCAGGAGGCTACTGGCATTCTTCGTTGCAAGAGCACGTTGCTGGCTCACACTCGACTTTGTGTCTGCCAAGACCCTGAGGTCTTTTGCTGCCAAGCTGCTCCCCAGCCAGTTGGCCTGCAGCATGTACTGGTGCACAGGGCCATTCCTCCCCAGGTGCCGGACTTTGCACTTCCCGGTGTTGAACTTTGAGGTTCATGTCTGCATGTTTGTCCAGCCTGATGAGGTCCCTCTGACCCATCTGGTTTATCAAGCACTTCTCCAAGTGATTGTATTTCTTTTCCTGTTAATCCCTGTGTTAAGGTTTGGAAGTAGATTTAAAAGATGTCTGTCCAGGAAGATTTAAACAACTAAAAAGAGAGAAAATGTCCAGATCAAAAGTACTGTAATATATTTTGAGTAGCAAATATTTTAAATGAGTAAAATATATTTCTGGGTTGAGTTGAATGGCCAGTAAAGTGGAAGGCAGAATCCAAGAGAGTGAAACTACCAAGAGCATTAAATAAAGCATTCCTTATGTGGCTATGAGCCTACAACTCTAACACAGGTGAAATACAATGATGGTAGCATCTTTTTTTTCCAAATAACAACTTTCTGGAAATGTTTTCTTAAGCATGTTCACCTGGGAAAATTCTTCTGCAACTGGAACAGTTTTTATTTTGCACGGTGCTACGGGTGGGTAACTTCTGAAACCCACAGTCTGTCTGCCATAAATTGACAACGTCAGATTGAAATCCAAATCCCACTCCAAATTGTCAGACTGATACTGACCCATAGAATCACCCTAAAATGCTGACACTTTCAGAGCGTTTCTACAGAGCTGCCTGATCACCTGCTGGAATTCATTACATTTATGACATTTTACAATGTTAATTGTTAAACTAAACCTTCCTTTCAAATAAGTTGAGCATGAGTTTAATCCATTACTGACACTTTTCAGAAATGAAAGCTTCATCAGTTGTTTCCCTAATTTATGTTCCAATCCTGCACTTAAGCTTTCTGTCTTTAGCCTGGGGTTTTGCCACGGTAAAGTGCTGCAGAACTGGTCTACTTCATTTTGCCACTGGGTTTTGTGTCTTCTGCAGAATTCCCTAGTTGAATGTGAAATCTGTTCTGCATTCAGCTTTAAAAAAAAAAAAAAGAAAATAGGAAAAAAAGGACTATGGAGACTGCTAGTCACAGTATCCGGCTGGATACTTTCTATAATTACAAAGCGTGCTTGCTAGCATTCAGTTTCCTGCTGCTTGCTAAATGCTTTAAAAGCTAAATACTGGGATTTTTTGTGTGTTGCTTTCCATGGTTTACAAACAAGAGAAACTTTAAGATGAGTTATGAACAATATAATTTTATGTATATACAATATTTAAATATTGTACAGACTCTTTCTTTCTACAGTGCTATTTTCTTGTATAAAAATGCTCTTTGCCTCTGTTGATTTCATTCAGCTGTTAATTTTAAATAACATAGTTTCTCAATCAGCTTCTGTAATTATAGGCTTTTAAAGATGCTAAGATATGAAATGTAAAAGGCTGATCTTATAATAATAGGAAAGAAATGTTGGTGTGTCAGAGAATACAACATTCTTCCTGCCACGCAAGTCATACCAGTTAAGCATATTACACAGATGCACTAGTACGTTGCTGGGATTTTCATTTCTTTGTTTCAGATGGTGACTGTTCCATCTCCAACAGTTCATCATAATAATGGATGAATCCTCCTGTTAAAAACAAGTTAAAATGTTGACTATGATCTGGTTATACAGCTTCTTCACTAGGTTTTGGAATTTTATTAAGGATCTTCCCAAGTTTAAAATAAAAAACTCTACAAAACTACTTTCTAAAGCCAGGCAGCACTGATTTATAGTAACTGCAGGTAAGACCCAGGCTCTGTTTACCACTACCACCTACCAAAACAAAAAGATATAAAGAAAAGTAGGCTTTGGTGTCTTTCCGTCCTGGGTTAAACTGAATGGGCCTAGTTCTGCACAGATTTATTTACAGTGGCCTTAGGTTAACACAGAATTTGATTTAAGAGATGCCTACAACCTTCCCCCTTCTCCCCTCTGGAGGAGGCAAATGGCAAGATCAGGTGGCCCATGATTTTTTTGCTGTTTTAAGCCTGTCTGCAGGGAACGCAGCGCTTCCGAAACACAGTTCCCTGCACAGTGGCAAGTGTCTGCCCTTTCTTACTCTCCTTTTGTAAGATTCCGTCTGGATCCAAGCAGGGGTTTGTTGCTGAAATGGCTCTACTGTAAGCGTTTGCATATTTTTGCACTTCCTCATTCAGTCTGATGAGAGCACTGTCAAGCTTATCTTTGCAGAGCACTGAACTACTGAGCAAACCCCCAGCTGTCCTTGTTGCCCTCTTCAAATCTAAGAATGGAAAATTAGCTTGTCTCTCTAAGGAATTAGAATTGTAAGTAGAATATTATGCTGTGGTCTGTAGTCTAGAACCCAGTTAAACAACTTTACATTGTAAGTGGGATGCGGATGCCCATTTTGATAAAGGATGTTAGGCTGTAAAATTAATATGGAATTTATTAGGAAAGGAGTCAGCTTTAGAATAGGAGATTCCCTGCAGAGCATTTTTGTTGGTAGGGGTTTCAGATGGCATTGTGCAACCTAATGTTGAAAAGACAAGGCCCGCTAACCTTAGGGAAAGCAGGAGGCCTTGGCAGGAGCTTTGCTCTAAGCAGCAACTTGCAAGTTTGGGTCCAAGTTACTTAATTCTAGGCTGAAAGTTAGCAGCTAATTGTGATAGAATGGTTAATTGTGCTAGAATATGATAAAAGTGCAGTGATGGTTAGGACCGTTTGCATTGGTATGAATATACCAATATTTATATACAGGAGTTTTAATGCATTATTATGAGAAGGCTAATTATATATTGCAGAGATTTAATCGCCAAGACAAGCTGCATATTTATGATATGAAGTGGCTTAAGCGGATGAATAGTATAAAAGTTGTTGGGCATAACGTCACAGTACTCACCTGCTTTGAAATAGTCTTAATATTATAAAACCAACCGTTGTGGTCTTGTTCACCTCTGTGCAAGATAAATTCAGATTTCACTGATGTTCGGAGCTGTTCACAACTTGTCTGGATTGTATCTTGAGTGTTCTTGTGTCTTCAATCACGTCAAATAAATACTGTAAAACTAATTTTTCTTTTTTGGTCTTACTATTTTTATGAAAACAGCTTTATAAAGAGACCTAATTTATTATGAAAGTGAGAAAGGCCAAGCGGCTATACTTGTGTGTTCCCATGTATGTGTAACTTGAGCAAACGTGACACCAACCATATGTACTGTTTTTCAGATTTAAACTTTTTAGATGGGTGCACAGCTTGGCCAAGACCTTGCAGGTCCCCATGCAGCACACGTAGTTCCTTGACAAGAGGCTGCTGCAGCTGTAGTTCACTCCTGGGGGTGCTCCATACACGCCCGAGGCAGAATTCTACCACTGGTGACTACTCAACCGAAGTTGGTGTAACTCGGAGTAGGGTGTCTGTTGGACATTACCAAAAGCAGATGGTGTATTTTCTGTAGTGACACTCTGAGAAAGCCAGGAAATCAGATAGAAAAACGGTCTGTCAGAGGACCGTGGTCTCTTAAGCCTTGTCAAAGGCTGGTTTAGTGCTACGACGCTACCGTCAGGCCAGTGAGCT